AAACCTGCAGCTCACAGAAAAGAGGGCGCAAGGGTGGGGCAGACAAACCAGCCTGTCTCCAGACCCACTAGGGAGGAAGGGAGGTCCTGTGCGCCTGTGGACTTAGGCTAATGTTTGCTGCCAGCAGGGCATCTAAGAATCCAGGGGATTTTATGTAATGTTGCCACCACATGGTTCTTTTAAAAATGCATAAGAAAATGTGAGGGTGTAGGGCAGATGAGGAGAGAGATGACACAGAGGGAGCAGCCTTCTCTTTAGCAAGATGTAAGGGAAATATAATTCACTTACATAAAAAAGAAACAACACACACGCAAACCCTTCACCAGAAGCTTCACACTACATCCTCCTCCTCCTCCTGCTCCCCACCTTCACCGCATCCCTTTCAGAGCCAGGGTCACCGCAAGGGGCACCTGGCCTGCCCACTCACATCTGCCAAAATGTTGCATGCCAGTGTGGAAGACAAACCAAATTGCACAACCCCCTGTGTGTATTTAATTGGTGTACATAGATATCTTTAAAATAAAATAAATTCCATGATGACTCTATGTTGTTGTAAATATTCTTTATCCCTCCTCCATCTCATTCCCTTCCTTGGATATAATGGAACTTGATATATCTTTCCAGATGTTTTGCTACAGATTTACATACAGGCTTGGTGTTTTTCCCATTTGACACTATATCCTGGAGATCTTTTTATGTCAATGTATATCAATTGACCTCATTAAAATACAATTTTTCACAAATCCTACAATTCATTCAGCCAGTCTACTACTGGTAGATATCTACACTGTTCGTAATTTTTACCAAAAGTGGTATCTTGTTCCTTCATTTTTTATGCAGAGCAGCCACAGTCCTGGCATCAATTCCTTCCCTCTCCAGTGTGTCACCCTCTCTCCACAGCCAACAGATCAATATTTCTGTCCCAAGATCATCCAATACAATCACCCTTCCAACCCTTTTTTTTTTTTCTTTTTGAGACGGATTTTCGCTCGTTACCCAGGCTGGAGTGCAATGGCGTGATCTCAGCTCACCGCAACCTCCGCCTCCTGGGTTCAACTGATTCTCCTGCCTCAGCCTCCCGAGCAGCTGGGATTACAGGCATGCACCACCATGCCCAGCTAATTTTTGTATTTTTAGTAGAGACAGGGTTTCATCATGTTGGCCAGGATGGTCTTGATCTCTTGACCTCACGATCTGCCCACCTCGGCCTCCCAGTGTGCTGGGATTACAGGCATGAGCCACCGCGTCAGGCCCCAACCCCCATTTTAAAGTGTAGTCCACCTCTCTTCTTTGCTCATACCTCAGAGCTTCTCAGATGGAGAAAACTGCACACCCAAAAAACTGGGGCAAGTAAAACTGAAGAGCCTATAAACCTACTAGGACCTCTGGTGCTGCTCACTTTCTTCTCCTATTTCCCAGAGCAAGGGTCTACACCCTTTCCACCCTTATCTCTCAGGCAGCAACTTTCTCATCTGCTTCAAAGGGAAAATTAAGGCACTTGAGCTTGAAATTCTTTATCTTCCCCCTGCCACCCACATGCACCTAAACAATTACCCGTCTATGTCTGCACATATCCTTTCCTTCCCCCTTCTGACAAGTGATAAATCTCCTTTCTCTGGGCTAACGTGAATCCCTTCTAGATATTTAATTCTTGAGATACTGATATAGAACCTCAATAATAAATATAGAAAATATATAAAACTGGGCCAGGTGCGGGCTACTAAAAATACAAAAACTAGCTGGGCATGGTGGTGCGCGCCTGTAGTCCCAGCTACTCGGGAGGCTGAGGCAGGAGAATTGCTTGAACCCAGAAGGCAGAGGTTTCGGTGAGCCAAGATAGTACCATTGCACTCCAGTCTGGGTAACAACAGCGAAACTGTCTCAAAAAAAAAAAAAAAAAAAGAAAAAGAAAATATATAAAACTGTTGGGCACAATGGCTTATGTCTATAATCCCAGCACTTTGGGAGGCCAAGATGGGTGGATCATGAGGTCAGGAGTTCGAGACCACTCTGGCCAACATAGTAAAACCCCATCTCTACTAAAAAAACAAAAAAATTAGCTGGGTGTGGTGGTGTGCACCTCCCAGCTATTTGGGAGGCTGAGGCAGGAGAATTGCATGAACCTGGGAGGCAGAGGTTGCAGTGAGCAGACTGTGCCATTGCGCTCCAGCTGGGGTGACAGTGCAAGACTCCATCTCAGGCCAGGCACGGTGGCTCACGCCTATAATCCCAGCACTCTGGGAGGCCGAGGCGGGTGGATCACGAGGTCAAGAGATCGAGACCGTCCTGGTCAACAAGGTGAAACCCCGTCTCTACTAAAAATACAAAAATTAGCTGGGCATGGTGGTGCGCGCCTGTAGTCCCAGCTATTTGGGAGGCTGAGGCAGGAGAATTGCTTGAACCCAGGAGGCGGAGGTTGTGGTGAGCTGAGATTGCGCCATTGCACTCAAGTCTGGGTAACAACAGTGAAACTCCGTCTCAAAAAAAAAAAAATATATATATATATATATAATATAAAACTGATAAACTGATGGAGACTTAGGAGTTTTCATCTTTTTTTTTTTTTTAAGAGTCTTGCTCTGTCCAGGCTGGAGAGCAGTGGCATGATCTTGGCTCACTGCAACCTTTGCCTCTCAGATTCAAGCGATTCTACTGCCTCAGCCTCCTGATTATTTGGGACTACAGGCACACAGCAACATGCCTGGCTAGTTTTTTTTATTTTTAATAGAGATGGGTTTTCGCCAGGCTAGCCAGGCTTTTCTCCAACTCCTGGCCTCAAGTGAGGCGCCTGCCTAAGGCATCTTCTTTATTAATGCCTGTCTCAATGATTTCATGTTGTAAAGGTCCCTCCCATAAGAGTCCCTCCCTTTACCATGTGTTTCTCTAACTACTTACTTGTTTTCTTTCCTTTTCTTTTTTTTTTTTTTTTTTCAGACGGAGTTTCGCTGTTGTTACCCAGACTGGAGTGCAATGGCACGATCTTGGCTCACCGAAACCTCTGCCCCTGGGTTCAAGCAATTCTCCTGCCTCAGCCTCCCAAGTAGCTGGGACTACAGGCGCACACCACCATGCCCAGCTAATTTTTGTATTTTTAGTAGAGACGGGGTTTCACCATGTTGACCAGGATGGTCTCGATCTCTTGACCTCATGATCCATCCGCCTCGGCCTCCCAAAGTGCTGGGATTATAGGCATGAGCTGCCGCGCCCAGCCTCTTGCTTGTTTTCTTAAAGCCAAATATCCAGAAACTCCCAAGCTCCCCACCTCCACTTCCCACTTCCTCACCCCCATTCATTCCTTAGCCCATCTTGATCTGCCGCTTGTTTTGCCCAAAACTGCTTTTCCAAATGGCACTAGTTACCATATACAGTGGACATTTCTCTTGGACAATAGTCTTTCTTTTGCTTCACCTTTCCATGACATATGACACTTCTTCACTCCTTCATTCTTGAAACTCAACTCCCCTTGGATGCTGCTCTCTTGGCTCCCTGTAATTCTCTGGCCACTCTTCTGAGTCTTCCTCCCCAATCCTCTTAAATGCTGCTCTATCACAGGGCTCAGCCTTTGGTTCTTTCCTTGCTCTAAGATATGTCATCCATGCCTGCAGATTCCATAACAATTCTTAAATCTATATCCCCAGTCCCGACCATTTTGCTGAGCTGTGGGAACATGTGTCCAACTGACCTCAGATGCCTCAAACATGTTCCAAACCAAACTTACCTTTCCCTGAAACTGCTCCTTTTCATGTCACCATCATTTCTTTCATGCCATCATCATCATCAGCCAGAAGCCTTAGACTCAGTCTCAACGCCTCCCCCCACATTCAGATAAATTTTCCAAGTTGACGTCAAACTGCATCTTTAGATGCCATCCCTTCTTTCAAACCCAACAGCCACTGCTTTAGTTCATTATCTGTGCCTGAACTTTTGCAATACTCAAGTCACCCTCCAGGAACATGCCTGAGTGGTCCTTCTAAAAGCACATCAAATATATTCAAGCTGCTTAAAGCATTTTCAGTGCCTACCCTCTCTAACTTTAAGTCTTGTTTCTTCACAATGGTTCTCAAATCTTAGGCCTTAATACTTACATCTCCCAGAAAGGCACTAGTCCTTCCTTCCTCCCTTCCTTCCTTCTTTCTTTTTTGAGACAGAGTCTTCCTCTGTCCTCCAGGCTGTAGTGCAATGACGTGATCTTGTCTCATGGCAACCTCTGCCTCCAGATTTCAAGTGATTCTCCTGTCTCAGCCTCCCGAGTAGCTGGGACTACAGGCACCCGCCATCATGCCCAGCTAATTTTTGTATTTTTGTACAGACGGAGGTTTCACCATGTTGGCCATGCTGGTCTTGAACTCCTGACCTCAGGTGATCCACCCACTTCACCCTCCCAAAGTGCTGGGATTACAGGCATAAGCCACTGTGCCGGACTAGTTCTTTCTCTTGTCTCCATGTCTTTTGTATGCTGTTCTGTCTAGAAAGACTTTTAACCCCTATGTCTGAACTCCACCCACCTTTCCAAACTCAGTAAAGTCTCCATCCTCTTTTAAGCCTTCCCTGACCAGGTACACTTCCTTATTTTTGTATCATTGGCTTTGCTTCATACACAGCTCTAGGCCATTAGACTCCCAAAATCAGTCCCTAGATCGGGACCTGGTACAAGTAAGTGCTCAATAAATACTTGTTAAACGAATGAATGAATTTAAAGACGCTTGAGACCACTGGTAAGAAATTCGGATTTCCAAACCCCTCCCCTTCCCAACTCCCACTCGTAAGAATGCTTTCGCAGCAGCCTCAGGCCGGAGGTTACTTATTAGAAACTGGGCAAAGCCGGAAGGCGGCCACTTTGCAGCAAAGAAGCCCTAGCCCTGGGAGTGAATCAGGCCAGCTCAGGCCGCACTACGGTCTCCTGGTTGACAGGTCGAGGGGCCTGGCGGGCGGCTAGCGTTGCCAGCTTACAGGGCTCCCGCGCGCCAGGTGAGCCCACTCACTGCGCGGACGTTGGGACTGGCTGGCGCGGGGGGCGGGGACAGCGTCGCCCCGCCCCGCCCGGCCCAGCTCGCGCGTCCGTTGTCCGGCCTCCGGTCACGTGACAGCAGCGCAGGTGAGCGCTGCTTCCGGGGTCGGGCGCCTTAGTCGCGGCCGGCTAGGGTTTCCACTCGGTCGGTTGCGCGGGAGACTATGGCGTCCTCCTCTGTCCCACCGGCCACCGTACCGGCGGCGACAGCGGGCCCCGGCACAGGTTTCGGCTTCGCCTCCAAAACCAAGAAGAAGCATTTCGTGCAGCAGAAGGTGAAGGTGTTCCGGGCGGCCGACCCACTGGTGGGTGTGTTCCTGTGGGGCGTAGCCCACTCGGTGAGAACCGGCCCTAGACCCCCGCAGCCCTGTCCAAAGCCCTCTGCTTCGAGACGTCCCTGTTTCCAAGTTCCAGCCTCCCGAGCCCCACACGCTGCCACTCCCCTCCCCCGGGCTCCCTTGGTCCTTGTCCAGCAACCGCCAGGTGTTCCCCTAGCAGGTTTTCTGATTGTGGACTTTTTTCTCTCCATCAGCCCTTTACTGCTCCACTCTAGTTCCACCTTTCCCCCTGAAATCCAGCTCTCTGTGCTTTGACTCCTTCCTGCCGTGTCCAGCTTCACTCCCCGGCTACGGAGACTGGCCAGGACTGGGCGCCAGCAGGGAGGACATTAGGGGGAGTGGCTTTTTCTTGGGTGGTGTTGGTGAGAGTGTAGGTGGAGGGTGGGGGACTGAGGGGAGTAGATAGATGAAGAGGTTCTTTCATTTTGCTTTCCACCTTGCTTTCCAGCCCCGGTTCTTGGCTTTTGAATCTTGGCTTTGTCTAGGGGAAGCTCCAGGTTTCCTGGACTTTCTAATCCTGCTTCTCCCTTCCTTTCCCTTCCAGAGGTACAGCATTTCAGAGAAACTACCCCACCCTGAGCTAGAAGTTGCAGTCTCTCAGGACTTATGTATATATGCCTTTGGTCTTAATTAACTGCATCCTTACCGCTGGCTGGAGCCATCGGTTTTGGTGTAGGTGGCTGCAATTGTTGGCCAAAGAGAAGGCTGAGGAGCTCTGGCCCTGGGGACACTATAGTGGTGAACTTAACAAACAAGAAACTGCTCTGAGGGTAGGGCCTGGGAGTCAGGAGGCAGCCAAGGAGACTTCTGTCCCCTTTCCTGAGGATACCTTAGGTGAAAGAAGCACAGCCATTGCCCATCTTCTGTCAGGTCGGGAGTGGGAGAAATACGGTGATCTTGAATGTGACAGGGAATATTTTCGAAATCAATGTTCTTGAATGATTATAGTCATGGCTGGGTTATGGAGATGGAAGTTGTGAGGAAGAATACAGGTTTTGTCACATTTTTAATTTGTGGCAAAGAATTTCTTAACCACAAATTAGGAATGTTGTTTGTGGCCAGTCAGATCGCTTTTGGATTTGTGACTCTCTGGGTGGTAAGCTCTTAGTGAGTATTCAGTGGAAGGCACTTCGCATGGGGAAGGCTGATAGAGGTAGGGCTGCCTCTCCTATGTACCTTCCAGTTGGTTCATCCATCCCTGGGGGATGCTTAACAGGGAGGGGTTTCCCTTGTTAAGGATTGGGGGAGTTACATGTAAGACCTACCTCAGCTTCACTAGGTATATATACTTTAGCCCCAGCACCCCACCCTCTGCCAACACACATCTACTTCAAGGGTTTGGAATGGAGAAATTCCTTGAACATATGTCTTAGTGATGATTCAGCTTGCCTAGCAGGTGGGGAGGAGGGGGCAGGAAGAACTCTAGCTGAATTTTAGGCTGGGAATCTCAAGTGGCTTTTTTTTTTTTTTTTTTCCTGGAGGAATATGTTCTGTCCTCCTTTTCTACTGAGAATGGGAGGAGTTGCTTGCACAGCAGTGTGTGGGATTTAGGTTAGACTGCAGTTCATAACCTCTGTGGAATGATCTAGTAAGGATAGGCAAGGCATTCATTTATTTGGTTAATAGACATGTCAGGATCACTGTGTGCCAGACATTGTGCTAGTTAGACACTTGAGAGATGGAGAGGACTCGAACGAGCTTGTGTTCTTTAAGAGCTCACAATCTAGATGGGTGAACTTACATAAACTAGTGATTATAGTCATGTGGTAACAAAGGCAGGTGAAAGGTACTATAGCAACACCAAGGAGAAAGCACAGCTCGGGATTTCTAAGTAGCAGAGCTTCCTTTCTACCCTGAATTAGCAGACTGCAGATCCTGGGGGCTGAGGAGAACATGTGATGCTTGTGTCCTCTGTGCTGTGGATTAGTTTGGCTTTAGGGAACAGATGCCTAATGAGCTCATATCCTCTGATTGCCTGCATTCCCTCTGAAATCAGCTGCTCTTCCTTTACCTTACACCTAGACAGGTGGGGGCCTACTGCAAACAACTAGGTCAGAGTGGTCTAGGAAGACTGGTCCTGTTTGCAAAGAGATGCCTTCTGCAGGATATGGACATTTATCCTTGTTGCTGTGGTTGGCCCCTCAGAATCCCATTAACTCTCTTGTGCATTTTAAAAATCTTTTTTTTTTTTTCTCTTTCTAATGGAACACATAGCTGTCTTGAGTCTGCAGAGTTTTGTTTGTTTGTTTGTTTGTTTTTCTAGAATTTCTCACAGCTTTAAAAATAGTCCTGAGTTGCTTACAGGGTTGTCCTAATATAAAATGACTGTTGTGAGCATGAAGGGGTGGGAGTGTTGGGGGCTATGTGTGAGGGTTGCTTACTGTAGTCCTTCTTGGGCAGCAGAAGGGTTATACACATTCTCTCACTTCTGTCAAGCATATACACAGCCAGTGTATTTAAAGGAATGAGATGTGAGTGGCCTTTCCATGACTGCTGCCCAAATACAGTATGGGTAGCTCTTCACACCTTACTCATGGCCTCCCTATTCATGTTTTGGCTTATCAGATCAATGAGCTCAGCCAGGTGCCTCCCCCGGTGATGCTGCTGCCAGATGACTTTAAGGCCAGCTCCAAGATCAAGGTCAACAATCACCTTTTCCACAGGTAAGTGATGATCCTTGCCATTCTCATGTCAACCTTCCTAGAAAGGGGTAATAAATACTTTTAAAAGTTTCGGTGAGTTGAAAATTTAACATCCTTTCCAATGCAGAAATTAGTTTTGTGCGAAGAAACCATGAGAATAATTTCTGGTATTCCCTATATCCTTATATGAATCAGTGTTATCTCTCCTCTAGCTTGGCAATTCCATAGAGTAAATATGTGCAGATATCATTACCTGCTCTTTTTCTCTTTCTTTTTCTGCTTGTGACCTTGCAGATGCCATGAGACCATTAGCTTCTGATAGGGACCCCTTGGAAGAAAAACCTGAGTTCTCTAAGCCCTCCTAGTATCAGAAGATGCCATTCAAGACAGTGGTGCCTTTTGCTGACTTTAGAATGTCTCTGACTTACTTGAGATTTGAGAAATGCTGCTGTTTGGAATGGGTAGTAGATCCTGACTCTACTACACCACTTACCAACCATGTTACTTAGGCAGGCCACTCAATGACCCTGAGACACAGTCTCCCCTTCTATAACATGGAAATAATATATTTTTATAGGACCTCACAAGGGCCAGATGTGGTGACTCATGCCTGTAATCCCAGCACTTTGGGAGGCCAAGGCAGGTAGATTTTGAGGTCAGGAGTTTCAGACCAGCCTGACCAACATAGTGAAACCCCGTCTCTACTAAAAATACAGAAATAACCGGGTGTGGTAGCATGTGCCTGTAATCCCCACTACTTGGGAGGCTGAGGCAGGAGAATCACTTGAACCTGGGAGGTGGAGGTTGCAGTGAGCCGAGATTGTGCCACTGCACTCCAGCGTGGGTGCCAGAGCAAGACTCTGTCTCAAAACAAACAAACAAACAAAGGACCTCACAGGGTTTTATAAGAATCAAATGAGGTAATATGTCTGAAGGTACTTTATAAACTACCAAATGTATGTAAATGTAATATTGTTTGTTTTCTTACTTTGAAAAACCTGAATTTCAGGGAAAATCTGCCCAGTCATTTCAAGTTCAAGGAGTATTGTCCCCAGGTCTTCAGGAACCTCCGTGATCGATTTGGCATTGATGACCAAGATTACCTGGTGAGAGTCCATTAAGGGGTGAGGGTAGCCCTTTCTCATCAGCAACTGAGGAGTCCTATTTGGGACAGCCATAGTTGGAGAAATGAGAGTCTTGGCAGACATGATTCTTTACCTTTTTGCAGTCACAGGTATTTTCAAAAATTTAATGAAAACTATAAACCTTATCCTTGGGGGAAAAGATGTAGATAAATTAAGAATTTTGCCAGGTGTAATGGCTCATGCCTGTAATTCCAACACTTTGGGAGACTGAGTTGGGCAGATCACCTGAGGTCAGGAGTTCGAGACCAGCCTGGCCAACATGTCAAAACCCTGTCTCTACTAAAGATACGAAAATTAGTTGGGCATGGTGGTGCATGTCTGTAGTCCCTGCTACTTGGGAAGCTGAGGCAGGAGAATTGCCTGAACCTGGGAGGTGGGGATTGCAGCGAGCTGAGATCGCACCACTACACTCAAGCCTGGGTGAAGAGCAAGAATCCTTGTCCAAAAAAAAAAAAGAATTATGCATTCAGTTTCATTCAGTCCTGAAATATGGACACCTGAATGAGGAGTCTGTGCTGAATCTCCTACCCCAGGGACTCATCCACTTTCAGCTGACCATTTTCATATGACTTGTTTCTGCATATAAAGGGGGAGGAAAAGAGCCTCTGGCCTATTCTGTGTCCCCAGGTGTCCCTTACCCGAAACCCCCCCAGCAAAAGTGAAGGCAGTGATGGTCGCTTCCTAATTTCCTACGATCGGACTCTGGTCATCAAAGAAGTATCCAGTGAAGACATTGCTGACATGCATAGCAACCTCTCCAACTATCACCAGGTCAGACCTCTCTCTAGCCCCGTTCTTTCCCTCTCCTCCCTACCCACGTATAGCTCAGCTTCTATCAGTAATAGATGCTGACTGGGGAGAAAACTCAGATCAGTACACAACTGGAATACATTGGAAGACAGAATCCATAATCACCAGCCCAAATTGGGATGAGGGAAGCTATTCTGTCTGATAAGATTTACTTGGAGTGTGGAGTTTCTGGAATGTTTTGGCAGTAAAAACACTTCTTGAATGTCTCTCTACTGAAGAAAAATTTCACCAAATCAGTGAGCAAGGAATACATGAAAGGGTCTAAAAGGAGTTTGGTTTATGCAACAAATATTGAATATCTCTTATTATTAGGCCCTATGTTAGTCAGTAGACAGGGAGGCAAATGAAACAGTCATGGCTCTTACAGATCTCTTGGCCTAATGGCAGTGACCAGTGGCCCAGTATTAGCACACAGCAAGAAAAGCATCCTAACTCACCTGGGAAAAGAAGTGTACTTGGGAGGCTAAAGACAGTTTTTTAGAGGAGATACTGTGAGAGTTGATCCTTGAAGGACTAGTAGGGGTTAACCACTGGACAGGGTAGAATAGCATTCTAGGCAAAGGAAAACAGCACTTGCAAAGACACAGAGCCATGAGAGAACTCTGTGTTAGGAAACTGCAAGAAATTCCATTTGGATGGAATATAGTATTATGGAGATAGGCAGGAGCCAGATTGTGAAGAAGCTTATAAGCCCCACAAAGAAGTTTGGGCTTTATCCTGAAGGTGGTTTTGCAAGGGAAGTGATATATTTGTTATTTAGAAATATTTAGAAAATGTGACAGCACTTTAGAGAATGGATTGGTGAGAGGGAACACTCAGAGTGTGGATACCAGTTAGGAGGTAATTTTAATAATCCAGGGTAGAAATGATGAAGGCCTGGGAGAGTGATGGTGAAGAGGATAGAAAAGAAGACCTATGGGAGAATTGTGAGAGTTAAGACAAGGGGTTGGGCGCAGTGGCTCACGCCTGTAATCCTAACACTTTGGGAGGCTGAGGCAGGTGGATTGCCTGAGCTCAGGAGTTTGAGACCAGCCTGGGCAACACGGTGAAACCCCTTCTCTACTAAAATACAAAAAATTAGCCGGACATGGCGGCATGTGCCTGTAGTCCTAGCTACTCAGGAGGCTGAGGCAGGAGGATTTCTTGAATCCAGGAGGTGGAGGTTGCAGCGAGTCAAGATTGTGCCACTGCACTCCAGCCTGGTGACAGAGTGAGAGTCCATCTCCAAAAAAACAAACAAAAAAAAGACACATATGGTCCAAGTTCCTGGTGAGGGATAACTGGTGCCCATTCACCAGAAATTAGAAATGAGGAACAAGCTTTTGAAGGAAGAAAGTTCTGATTTGGACATATTGAATTTGATGTTTCTGCAGTTCATCCAGATGAGGATGTCTAGTAAGTGGTTGGGGTATGGATATGGAATTCAGGAAAGAGGATTAGACTGGGAATATAGGTTTGAAAGTTATACATGAATAAATGATCATTAAAACCACGAGTATAGAAACAATTATTGTAGGGCTGTGTGGAGTGAAATAAAAAGACAGTTGAGGACAGAACCTGAAGGAGCAAGTGAAGAAATGAGCCCATAAAAGAGTAGATGGACACTTTTAATTATTTATGCCATACTACATTCCATACAGGATTTGAGGACAAAGAGAAGGGGAGGTATAAGGAGGGTGGTATAAGAAGAGCTGAGGATCAAGAGAGTTTTAAGGGGAGACTGGCCAATAGGATCAGGTGCCACAAAGCTGAAATACGACAATGACTAGAATATTTATTAGATTTGACAACTGAGGGATTTGGGGGAGATTTCAGAGGAGAAATGAGGTATAAACCTGATTTCCGTGATTCAAGGTGTGAATGAGAGACAGGAAATGGATTGATTGCTTATTGCTTTTCTCAGAAGGTTGGCTATGAAGAGAATGAGGCAGAAACACAGAGAGAAAGAGATGGTAAACAGTGAAGGAATTATTATTTTTTTAAGAGACAGGATCTCATTGTGTTGCCCAGGCTGGTCTCAAACTCCTGTGCTTAAGCGATCCTCCTGCCTGAGCCCCCCAACTACCTGGGATTACATGTGTGAGCCTGGCTTAATAGAATATTTTTTTAAGAATCCAAATTGTGGGCTGGGTGTGGTGGCTCATGCCTGTAATCCCAGCACTTTGGGAGGCCGAGGCAGGTGGATCACAAGGTCGGGAGATTGAGACCATCCTGGCTAACAAGGTGAAACCCCATCTCTACTAAAAATACAAAAAATTACCTGGGCGTGGTGGCATGCGCCTGTAGTCTCAGCTACTCGGGAGGCTGAGGCAGGAGAATTGCTTGAACCTGGGAGGCAGAGGTTGCAGAGAGCTGAGATCGCGCCACTGCCCTCCATCCTGGGCAACAAAGTGAGACTCCATCTCCAAAAAAAAAGAATCCAAATTGTAGGCAGTCATGCAGACTTTTTTTTTGGGGGGGGGGGGCATGAAATCTGTTATTTATATTGCAATGACAGAATGACACAGCACAGCTCAACCCAATGCAGACATTTTAAACTATGGGAATCTAGCCTAGGAAGAAACACTGCTCTAGATAAAATGATTTAATTGATAAGAAGGTGTAAGTTCTAATCCTGGTTCTGTGACCACTTGCATATAGAGAGGGTCTAAAATAAGAATAATAACACTTAACTTTCCTCATCTCAAAGAATGAGAAAGGTGAATCCAGAGATGACACTTTAAAATTAAGAGACGTACAAATGGAAGAAATCAGAGGAACGGGGGATTCAGAAATGGAATGGATTCCCTGGAGCATTTTGGGGAAGCTTCCATCACTTTTGAGTTTGTAATATCTCTACTTGAAGTCTTCTGCTCCACCCTGGAATGGCAGTGTTTGAATTCCCACCCCTGGGCTGCTTGTGTATCTGCTACTCAGCCTCTTCTCATTCCTTACCCCTCTTTCACTGTAGTACATTGTGAAGTGCCATGGCAACACGCTTCTGCCCCAGTTCCTGGGGATGTACCGAGTCAGTGTGGACAATGAAGACAGCTACATGCTTGTGATGCGCAATATGTTTAGCCACCGTCTTCCTGTGCACAGGAAGTATGACCTCAAGGTAAGAAGGGATCGCTCAGGTTTAGAGGGAGGCTCCTGATAGTCTGAGAATGGGGAAGACCCTGGGGGGTCTTTGGATGATTCTTTTTAAAGAAAAGAAAGCTGGATTTGAGTACTCATTTTAGGAGCTGACTCTTCTTTTAGCCACTTCTACTAACTCAGTCTTTGGGTCTTTCTGCAGGGTTCCCTAGTGTCCCGGGAAGCCAGCGACAAGGAAAAGGTGATACTAATTTTATGTGCTAGGGTGAGGGGTGAGGGGTGAGGGATGAAGGAGGGCAGAGGGAAACTTCTTAGGATGGAGAGGCCACTCTATGTAGGAATAGGGATTACTAGCTATTTATTATCTTAAACCACTTAAAAGAAGAGGGGGTAAACTTCTGTTGATCTGGGGATTGTTTGGAGGGGCAGTGGGAGCAGCTGCTTTAACATTGGCCTGGGTTATTCCATATGGAGGGCTTGGGGATGGGTGTGGATGCCAGACTTTAAGAGCAAAATGTTTAACTTCCACTTCCCATTCTGGGTTCTTTTATTCAAGCAGCTACTTTTGTTTAAGAAGAAACAGGCCAGGCACGGTGGCTCATGCGTATAATCCCAGGACTTTAGAAGGCCGAGGCAGGAGGACTCTTGAGCCCAGGAGTTCCAGACCAGCCTGGGTGACGTAATCTCTACAAAAACCAAAAAAATTAGCCAGGCCTGGTGGCACGGGCCTATAGTCCCAGCTACTTGGGAGGCTGAAGTAGGAGAATCACTTGAGCCCAGGAGGTCAAGTCTATAGTGAGCTGAGATCGAACCATTTACATTCCAGCCTAGGCAACAGACCAAGATTCTATCTCAAAAAAAAAAGGAGGGTCTTGGGTGAAAATCATAAGCAGAGAGTAGTGGGATGTGATTTGGGATACAGCTGTAGTGATTGAGTCTGGGGAAGTCACTGGAGTTGAGAACAGATCAGGGAAGCATCACAGTGTGGAGTTAGATGAGCTCTCTCTGCTAGAGGATACTGAGCTAGCATAGAGCCCTAGACAGAAGGTGAAGTTTTGAGACCTTGGGCAAGGGATGTGTTCCCAAGATGTCCCTTTACCTATTCCTAGGTTAAAGAATTGCCCACGCTTAAGGATATGGACTTTCTCAGCAAGAACCAGAAAGTATATATTGGTGAAGAGGAGAAGAAAATATTTCTGGAGAAGCTAAAGAGAGATGTGGAGGTGATGATTGGGTGCTCTGGGAAATGGCTTTCTTTGTTTCCTTTTTTTTGCTCTCTAGGATACTTGACTCTTTAATTCACACTATGAGGGAGCTCTCCCCTTCCCTTTATTATTCGGGTCCTCTGCATGTATGAGGATTGGGTATGAGACATGAAAAACCCCTAGAGCTGACCCATGGAAGGGGTGACTGGAATAAGCTAAAAGGATGATCTTAGATACCAGGACATATAGGCACTGAAGGGCAGTGGCATGCCCTGCAACCTCAATTTTTACACTTCCTTTCCCCAGGAGGGCCCCAGAAGTTCAAGGGTAGAGGTACAGGGGTGGTACCTCAGGAAGAGGGAGAGAGAGATGTCTGATTTGTCAGTGGGTCTCAGTTTCTAGTGCAGCTGAAGATCATGGACTACAGCCTTCTGCTGGGCATCCACGACATCATTCGGGGCTCTGAACCAGAGGAGGAGGGACCCGCGCGGGAGGATGAGTCAGAGGTGGATGGGGACTGCAGTCTCACTGGACCTCCTGCTCTGGTGGGCTCCTATGGCACCTCCCCAGAGGGTATTGGAGGCTACATCTATTCCCATCGGCCCCTGGGCCCAGGAGAGTTTGAGTCTTTCATTGATGTCTACGCCATCCGGAGTGCTGAAGGTGGGAACTGGGACCATTTAAGGGTGGAGAGGGGATTGTTCTTGGGGGACAGAGACCCAGGGGAGAGCCCGGTTAGCTTTTCAGAACAAAACTGGCTGGTTCCTGGAGAAAGGGAATTGGAACTAAACCTGCTCTAAATTGTTGGTCTCTCTCCCAGGAGCCCCCCAGAAGGAGGTCTACTTCATGGGCCTCATTGACATCCTTACACAGTATGATGCCAAGAAGAAAGCAGCTCATGCAGCTAAAACTGTCAAGCATGGGGTGAGGGTTCCTGAAAGCCTTTCCTTTCCTGTCCTGATATTCTTTGGGAAGAGAGAGCCTCTTGTGTTAGAGCAATGGCATGGCAAAAGGATGGAAGTGGTCTGGGGTAGACTGGGTGGGTAATAGGGATGGGTACTGCGGTGGCCTGACACATTGTTCTATATCTCCTCTCACAGGCTGGGGCAGAGATCTCTACTGTCCATCCAGAGCAGTATGCTAAGCGATTTCTGGATTTTATTACCAACATCTTTGCCTAAGAGACTGCCTGACTCTCCCTGATGTTCAAGGTGGTGGGGTTCTGAGAGGCTGGGGAATTGTGGATATTCTAGCCACCACGTTTCTTCTTTTGCTAAATTCAGGCTGCAGGCTCCTTCCATCCAGATAACTCCATCCTGTTTAGTAGGCTTCTGACCCTCAGAAGTACATTGTCCTTTCTCCCCTTTGCCCATTTTTCTCCCCTCTCTCCCTCCCCACAAGAAGTCTGCTTGTATTATTAGAATGTTATTGTTGATTCTCTCCCAAGTGCCTTGATCTTTGTAAAATCTCCTGCTATTTCTATGATATAGGAGCTGGGGGAAGGGGGTTGTTTGTCATCTTCAGGACCTGCCTGAAGCAACTACTCTGGATGCACTTTGCTGTGTGGGATGAACTAAAAGTGTCTGAATTTTGCTGATAACTTTATAGAACTCACTATGGCATGCTTCCCTCCTGGTGGGCCCTAGGATGGAGGAGAGTCAAGATACTACAGATGTGGGTACAGGCATGTACACACACGATGGAATATGGTCAGCCCTACACAGATAGGGTAGAGAGTGGGTCAGCAGCCTGGCACCTCACAGAGGTGGGGCCTACGAGGATTCTTGTAATTATGCAGAGAATTGGATTGGGTCTCTGTCAGAGATGGAGTAATCTCTTACCTCACCTTAGTTCCATCCCCACCCATCTCTACTTCTGGACACAGGAGCCCAGAGATGGCCAAAAGCATTCAAGCCTGGGGGAAGGTGTTTTGACTATTGCTGCTCTTCACCAGAACCTTGCATCTCTCTTGGGACTGGAACCCTTCAGTGGGCGTGTGGCCAGTTCTGGAGGCTGGGATTCTGGGCCAGGGTGTAAGGTTCATTCTCCACGTTAAGTTTCCTTTCAGCCAGGTGCAGTGGCTCACACCTGTAATCCCAGCACTTTGGGAGGCCAAGGCGGATTACCTGGGGTCGGGAGTTGGAGACCAGCCTGATCAACATGGTGAAACCCCATCTCTACTAAGAATACAAAATTAGCCAGGTGTGGTGGCACATGCCTGTAGTCCCAGCTAATTGGGAGGCTGAGGCAGAAGAATCGCTTGAACCCAGGAGGCGGAGGTTGTGGTGAGCCAAGATGGTGCCATTGCACTCCAGTCTGGGTAACAAGAGTGAAATTTCAGGGCCAGGCGCGGTGGCTCACGCCTGTAATCCCAGCACTTTGGGAGGCCGAGGCGGGTGGATCACGAGGTCAAGAGATCGAGACCATCCTGGTCAGCATGGTAAAACCCCGTCTCTACTAAAAATATAAAAAAAATTAGCTGGGCATGGTGGCACGTGCCTGTAATCCCAGCTACTCGGGAGGCTGAGGCAGGAGAATTGCCTGAACCCGGGAGGTGGAGGTTGCCATGAGCCGAGATCACGCCATTGCACTCCAGCCTGGGTAACAAGAGCGAAACTCCGTCTCAAAAAAAAAAAAAGAGTGAAATTTCATCTCAAAAAAAAAAAAAGTTTCCTTTCATCCTGCCTAGCCATCCCCAAGGTATATTTTCAGAAGAAGGGAATATCTCTACTTGGATCAATTCTGGTCATTTCAAGAGGATGGAGTCCTCAGTGTGGGAACCTCCCCTACTCCCTGGATGTGTGTGCCTAGCACACTTCCTTCTCCCACCCCTTCTCAAACCCTTTTTCCAGTTGGATTTGTTGTTCTGTTCTTCTGTCCTGTCTTATACTGCTACTGTGTCTCTTAGGGGACAGATGGACTTCTTTGTCATCTTCACTCTCCACCCCCAGAGAGGAGTCAGAGCCATAACTCAATCACTCAGCCCCTCCAAAGATAGTTGAGTTGATGATGTGTGATATTCTCGTAATGTTAAGAACCCTGATGAGATGAGATACATTGTCTTCCCCACCCTACAATGCCTCTGGAGCCAAGGCACCCATTCATCTTGCTAGCCTCCATCCCCCTGAGGCTTCCACTTTTTTTTTTTTTTTTAAACCTTAAGATGGGCACCAGCAACTGGCCTGTGGTGATGCAAAGCTGCTTTGCTCTGTATCTGGCTGGACTGATCTATCTCCCAAGAAGCCATGAGGCAATAGGGAGAAGCTCTCTCTCTCCTCTTCATCTTCTGCTCCAAAGGAGGTAGCAAGAGGAGTACCCAGTTTTAGGGGTTGGAGCCCCTATAACATCTTCCTGTCAGGAGACTGATGGATCTTTTTCATTCCAACCATCTCCCTTTCCCCCAGTGAATGCAATAAAACTTTGTGACACCAGCAACTGTTGTTCTTTAGAAATGGGTTTTCTGATCACATGGCTGATGTATTATGGGCAGTATGGATGTCTTCATTTGTTGCTTCTGTTTATCATCTTTTTTGTTTTATTAAAAAAAATTCGTGGTCGGTTGCAGTGACTCAACGCCTATAATCCCAGCACTTTGGGAGGCCGAGGCGGGTGGATCACGAGGTCAAGAGATCGAGACCATCCTGGTCAACAGGGTGAAACCCCGTCTCTACTAAAAATACAAAAATTAGCTGGGCATGGTGGTGAGTGCCTGTAGTCCCAGCTACTTGGGAGGCTGAGGCAGGAGAATCGCTTGAACCTGGGAGGCGGAGGTTGTGGTGAGCCGAGATTGCACCATTGCATTCCAGCCTGAGTAACAACAGCGAAACTCTGTCTCAAAAAAAAAAAAAAAAATTCGTGTATTTGCTCCCATTGCTATCATAATACAGGGAATAAATTATTCAATCCAAATTCCTGTACAGAAATACTTTTTTTTTAAAAATTTTTTTATTAACATTTCACTTCTCTGAGGAAGCCTGTGCTTAAGGGTGCAGAAACCAGCTGAAGAATTTTGGTGTTCAAGGTGTTGAGCCCCTAACTAAGGATGTGGGTTTCTAGACAGATGGCTGTGAACTTTTTTGAAAAGGCTGTGAAGTGTGTGCACGGAAATGGAAAGCTTAGTTTTTAGCCTTGTGGCAGGTCAGCGGTAGTGAGGGCCAGGGAAGAGTAGGGTGATGGGACCCTTCCTCTTCGCAGAGTTCTGGGCTTGGCTAACACTCCATTTTGGCAAAGGTGAGTGGGCCTCTCAGCCCACCTGCTAAAAGAAAAGGAATTCAGTACTCCACCCCCCACCGACTTCCTGGGAAAGCTGTCCTCTTCCTGGAGGGAAGGAAGAGTACAGCTGCAGCAGGGTCCTGGGAAAGTGAAGAAAGTGACCAGCCCTCCAGTCTAGAGGGGGAATGAAAAAGGGGTGGATGAATAGAGGTTGTTGCCAGTTTGGGAGATTCCTGTCTTGGCTGAGAAAGTCTTTTGGCTGGTGGAAAAACCTGGCTTGATGTGGCTGGCCTCAGGGAAGTGAGTTGGATTGGGGGCGGAGACTGCTTGAAGTGGGAAGCAGAGCAGAGCTTTTTTTCTTTGAGAGTTTTTAACTCTATTTGAACCATACACTTGACACAACCACCACCCCAAGCCACTTTTTAAAAAATGTATTCACTTCCCATTCTGCACCAGCCTCCATATCCGTTTGTGGAAAGAGAAAATCGGAGGCACTTACCAATGACCATCTGAGAGCACGTTGTGGGGGTCACAGGAGGTAACAATCTAGAAAGAGGCAGGAGATGAGGGAGGGGATTGAAATAGTTTAGTACCGGGATTTGTTTATTTTTTAGAACCAATGCTTTTCTTTTTACTATGACTCTCCCCAACCCACATTGTTCCTCAAAGGCCCTTCTACCACAAGGATTCAAAAAATTGCCGCCCTCCCCCCTCCGAATCCCCATATACCCACCAACACTTCACCCACCCATCCACCACCAGCTCCCGGGAGCTGCTACGCAGCTGGCTGGGAAAGAAAAGGGAGAGTGCTCTGCTGGGAGGCGGGAGCGAGAAGGGTGGCGTCTCCAGGGATTTAACCTCCTACCCTCAGTTCCGTGACGCCACCCCCTCCCTCCAAAGAGTGGGACAGCTCCTCCATTTTTGTTCTGGGGAGGAAGAGCAGGGGCTTGCGGATAGAAGGGGGTCAAAGGGAACGGTGATTATCACCTGTGAGGGGAAAGGGGGTGCTGTCCTCCCTCCTTCCCTTTCCATCAGCCTGCACCCCCTGCAACCCCCCACCTTCTCGGGGTCTCCCCCCCCCTTGTTGCTAAGGCCCGGACCGTCATCCCAGCAACAGCCTCAGTCATGTGACCGGCAATGGCGGCGCTGACGAGAGGTAGGTGAGCCCGGCGCCCCCCACACCCACCGCGCGCCCCCCAGGCCCCGCTAGCACCCCTCACACGCCCCCCGCTCCCCCGGCACCCCCTCTTCCCCCACCCCTCCCCGTACGCGGCTCTGGGCCCCCAGCTCCGGGCCCGGGCGATCATCTTTCTAGCACCCTCCAGCCTTGGCCTCTATTCGGGGATTCTGAGAGCTGCGATCGGGCCGACCTGCACCCCCACCCGGGGGTGGGGATCCGGGGGCTTCGGCGAGTGAGAGATGTGGGGAGTTGGTTCCGGGTCGGGTGTTGGAGGAGGCCTTGGGGGGAGGGCTGGAGCGGCCTCAGTGGATGCCCCCAGGGACCCTTGCCCTTCCCGGCTGTCCCTCCCTCCGGCCTGGGTCTGGAGGGAGACTGGTCCCTTGTCCGGCCTGGGTTGCCACGGAGGAATCACAGACCCACCCTAAACTGTGGCCCCGCCTCCCTTTTCTATGCCAGCAGGACTTGGAGCTAGGACACCTAGGTCCTGGGTCCCCTGTGATGAGACGGGAGGTGTTGCATCGCGGGTAGACTGTATGGGCTGAAGATCTAGTGTTCCATTTTCACTTTATGAATCTCAAGGTGCCTCTGGCCTTTGGGGATGATGATAGAAACATGAAGGGACAGCTGCTCCTTTTTTGGATCAGTCAATAAATGGAGGTCACACTTATGGCCCCTCTTTCTGTTTGAGCTGCATTGGGAGGTGTTGTGGGGACAGCACTGTAGCCCAATGCGACCAGACTCTGGGGAAACATCAGGCCTCTCCAGCTGAGCCCTTGTGTGAGCCCCGCCCCTCCCTAAATACCAGACTAGGGAGCTGACAGACAGCCCTGCCTGTGCTGGGTTTAAAAGGTGACAATGAGAACTTTGTTATTGTGGGGGCTGCTGCCACTTCGTTCACCTCTTTAACAGACTTCAGCGGAAGGGACTGAGTTAGCTCTCAAGGAAGGCTCCCTGGCAATAGGGGCTGAATTATTTGGGAATATGGAGCAGCGCAAGGAATTGGGAACACAGGAAATACTCCAGTTCATGTGATCTGAGGGAGGCGTCAGGAAGACCTCCACCTGTGTGGGCTTTTTCTTTCCTGGCTTCTCTTATGTGTGCCCTAGGCTTTCTTGGGGGCCTCAGAGCTGGGGAAGAAAGGAGGAAGGTTAGCATGTTGAAGTTCCTTCTTGAGCAACCTGGGGAGAAGCTGAGGATGGAATTCTGCAGAGGATAGAGGAAATGGAAGGGGAGTTTTTATTTCTGGGTTGGCTGAGGGAAATGGTAACATTTGCCATCATAACTTTTTACCCTTCCCCCACTCCCAGGCCTGGTCAGCTGAGTGGAAATAGAAGGATTTCTGCTGCCATCATCTTCCATGGGCTTTCCAGGTACCTCCCCAACAAGGGATCCTCAATGTTCACCCTGAAACTGGTTTCCTTCATTCCGTGTTCCAAGTAATCCCATTCCCAGTAACCTATGCCCAGGTTTCTGTCTCTGTTCCATGGGCTGCTAGGTTGGGGGCCAGGGGATTTGGGAGAAGGGGTTTCTCACTTTCCTTCCTTTTTTCCGCCCTGCCAGGTCACACGACCTACAAGTAGGGAGCAGGGAAAAAAGAGTGAGCCTGCATGCCAATTCTAAGCTCTTCGGGATCAAAGTAAGCAAAAAGGAGGGGCAAAAAATCTCCCTCCCCTTTAAAGAGCCCATTTTTCCCTCAGAGGTGGGAGGGGCAAATTGTCTCTACGATCTGGGAGAAATGACAGGAGAAACAAGACTGATGCTTGGTTTAGATGATAATACAGTTCTGGAAACTTGCTTGGTCTTCAGTGGGCTTTGGAAGATAAAGGGAGATAGAATATGAATTTGGGGGAAGGGTTGGGGATTAGGCTTTGAGAAACAGGTAATAGGGGGTTTGGAAAGAATCTGAAGTAGGAGGCACTGATACTTGTCAAATGGGGACCCCCCACCCTGAGTCCCTTTCACCCTGGGGGCAGTGTCGTTCGTCCTGTCCAGAATGGCAGCCTGTGGAGGCACCTGCAAGAACAAAGTGACTGTCTCCAAGCCTGTGTGGGACTTCCTGAGCAAGGAGACCCCAGCCCGGCTGGCCCGGCTTCGGGAGGAGCACCGTGTGTCCATCCTTATAGATGGCGAGACTTCTGACATCTATGTTCTCCAGCTTTCCCCACAGGGCCCTCCCCCGGCCCCTCCCAATGGGCTCTACCTAGCCCGGAAGGCTCTCAAGGGGCTGCTAAAAGAGGCAGAGAAAGAGCTGAAGAAAGCTCAGAGGCAGGGGGAGCTGATGGGCTGCCTGGCTCTGGGGGGTGGAGGGGAGCACCCTGAGATGCACCGCCCAGGCCCACCCCCTCTCCGAGCAGCCCCACTTCTGCCCCCAGGGGCTCGGGGGCTCCCCCCTCCTCCTCCCCCACTGCCCCCACCTCTTCCTCCTCGCCTTCGGGAGGAGGCAGAAGAGCAGGAGAGCACCTGCCCCATCTGTCTGGGGGAGATCCAGAACGCCAAGACATTGGAGAAGTGCCGGCATTCATTCTGCGAGGGCTGCATCACCCGGGCTCTGCAGGTGAAAAAAGCCTGCCCCATGTGTGGCCGCTTCTATGGGCAGCTGGTGGGCAACCAGCCCCAGAATGGGCGGATGCTGGTCTCTAAGGACGCCACCCTCCTACTGCCCAGCTACGAGAAGTACGGCACCATCGTCATCCAGTACGTCTTCCCGCCTGGTGTCCAAGGGGTAAGAAGACCATGTCCTGCCCTTATCCTTTGGCTTCCCCAGCCTCTGACCTAGGAAAACTGGGTGAGGGTATGTGCTTGTTAGAAGTGAGACAGTCTTGTTGTCTTCCTCTGTGCCCTCCTACTCGGTGCCCTGGAGCTAGGAGGTCCTGGTGAGGCCCAGCTTTTCCATCCCTGTGATCCTAAGGTACACATAAAAATCAGATATGAGCTAGGAAAAAAAACACAAATCAGATATGAGAGAAAGAAATTACATATTATTTCCTTGGTGAACATAAATACTATGGTGACATTTGGCAGACGTAAATTCTGTGGAGGTGGTGGCTTAGGGGCAGGCAGGCACAATAGGAAGGGATCTGACAACCCAACAGAGCCAGGAGCATCTCTCTGTGTCAGATGTATGAGAGCAAAACCTTGATGCCAGTGGAAGGTTAAAACAGGAGTGGTCAAGGGCCTATAGGTGTCTTCCTGCTGGACAAAGAGTAATGTGGAATTCTGGGTGCAGAGGGGTAAAGAAGCTGCACAGAGTCCGGGCGCGGTGGCTCACGCCTGTAATCCCAGCACTTTGGGAGGCCAAGGCAGGTGGATCACAGGTCAAGAGATAGAGACCATCCTGGTCAACATGGTGAAACCCCGTCTCTACTAAAAACACAAAAAATTAGCTGGGCATGGTGGTGCATGCCTGTAATCCCAACTACTCAGGAGACTGAGGCAGGAGAATTGCCTGAACCCAGGAGGCAGAAGTTGCCATGAGCCGAGATTGTGCCATTGCACTCCAGCCTGGGTAACAAGAATAAAACTCCATCTCAAAAAAAAAAAGAAGCTGCACAGAAGAGTAATGGAAGATGGAACAGGTTAGACAGTGGCAGAAATATTAGGAGTATTTTCAGGTGAAGGGAAGGCTAAAAGATAGATTATTCTGTCTTCATATTTCTGCTGAGTTGTCTGGAGTGCAGGGACCAGCCACCTTCCATCACTTCTGAGAATCCATTTGTTGCTGAATGGATTGTTGCTGAGGGATTGAGACAGCAGAAAAAAACCTCTTAACACATACATAAAGATTATGCTCTGAAACAGGCTCTGACTGCCCAGGCCCTATAATCTCTCCTTTGGAAAGCTGTCAGCCTGTTACTGCCCTGTTCGCATTAGCTGGGGGTGCTAAGACAGAGGCTGGCCGCCTCCATTGACATCTGGGTCTTGGGATGGCTGGCTGCTCACTGCCCACTCTGCTTCACCTTCCTCCCAGGCTGAACACCCAAACCCAGGAGTTCGGTATCCTGGCACCACACGGGTGGCCTACCTCCCGGACTGCCCTGAGGGCAACAAGGTGCTGACCCTGTTCCGCAAGGCGTTTGACCAGCGTCTCACCTTCACTATCGGCACATCCATGACCACAGGGAGACCGAATGTCATCACCTGGAACGACATCCACCACAAGACCAGCTGCACAGGGGGACCCCAGCTGTGCGACCCCTCTTCACTACCTTTCCCTTGGCTCCTCCCCTTTGCTCAGTTTCCACTGAGGGAACCACCAACCCCCTTGCTCTGGGATCCTCCTAACTGGAGAGGACCACTTCCAAACTGTTCAGCCATCTCAGTTTCTCCTTCATTCAACCTGGCCCTGATGTGCCCAGCTTAACCTACAAAAATAAGCAGAATTGGGCTAAGTTATCTTGGGTTTGGAGGTGTACCCCTTAGGGGAGGTGGGGAGGTGTTTTGAGCCACCTAGAATGAGGGTAAGCATGGGGATAATAGCAAGTTCAAACAGCTGACAACCCTCACCCTCATTTCTCTTTGCTCCCAGGTTTGGGTACCCGGACCCCACCTACCTGACCCGGGTGCAAGAGGAGCTGAGAGCCAAGGGTATCACAGATGACTGAAGGACATCCCCTTTGCCTAGGCCCCTGCTGTCCACCTCTACTAGGACCCAGCAGAAGCCTCTGTTCTACTCTCTGCCCCCTGCCCCCACACCACACCTGTAGGGGACCTGTCTAATTGGGAAGGGAGTTCAGAGAGGGAGGGGGGGCAATCCCTTCCCCCCAGTCCTCCACTGGCCAAGTGTTTCAGTGCAGTGTGAGCCACTCCCTTCTGGCAGAGGCCGACCTCCAAGGCCCTGTTCCCTGCTCCCTGTGTACATATACACCCAGTTTCCCTGCCCCTCCATTGCCCTTGGCTTTTTCTGGTATGTGCTGTGCTCCATGACCAAGCTGTGAAAGGACCTAGGGTGGGGAAGGGAGGGTCTGTTGATCTCCCGTCACCCCCACTTATTGCTCCACTGCTGAACTTGGGGTGCAGGGAAGGAGGAATTGGGCTGATGTGAGCTCCCCGCCACCCTCCATGGAGCCAGTTCTCCCTCAACCTTGTCCTTTCTCGCCTGTGTCTCAGTCTCTGTTAGTCTGTCTTTCTCCGCTCTTCTCTGACCCCTATGAGGAACCTCCTTACCCTGTTCTGGAATCGCTGCCAGACTGTAGCTTTTAATTTAATAAAAATAAAGTAAAATATGCAACTCTTTATGCCACACCCGTTATTTTCCAGGGACTGGGTGGGGTGGGGTGGGGTGGGGAGCGGGACCTGCTGGAAAGGGGGAGGGGTACTGAGGCGATCCTGCTTGCCCTCCCAGTCCCCCCAGCCTCCTGAGGACCTGTGGAAACGGGATGCACCAGCGGGTTCTGTAGCAACACTGTGAAGCCCTGGGTCGCACTTCGATGTTGGAATTAGGATTAAGAGGGTTTTGTTGTTGTTGTGCAACTATGGTTGTAGAGAAAAGAACAACCCTACCCCCTTTGCGAAGTTTGGCTGGGGTGGGAGTGGGGGCGGAGCCGGGCAGGGGGTGGATTCCGCAGCAGCAACTCCCCGGACGCGCGCAGGCCTCAAAGCCCCCCCAGCTTCCGTGCCCCTCGACCCTGAAACTTGGAGCAGGGTAGGGGTTCAGTATGAAGCCCCCGGGCCGCCCCGCCCCTGGCCGCACTGACCGGATACTGGGGGTTATGGGGGGCATGCTGCGCGCATGCGCCCTCCCCGAGCAGGAGGGGGTAAGAATGGGGGCCCGCGGTGGGGTCGGGGGTCTTTCGGGGCCTTCAGGAGAACTGCACCCACAACTCAATTTATCCGAAAATGAGTTCTGCGGGGCAGTCTCAGGAGTCAGTGAGTCCCATTAAGAGGGTCATAGCCCCGTTCTGGGATACACTTTTATAATAATGTGGATTTTGACAGGTGAAAGAAGGGGAAGGGGGAGGTCAGGGCTGCCCAGGAGGGCGGGCTCCTTACAGTGGTTCTGTACCCTCAGCCTCCGAGGAGAAGCCCTCTAGGGTCGGGGGGTACCGAGCCAGAGTCTGAACGTACGGAGGGAGATCACAGAAGGGATCGCGAACACGAGGTCCTCCCCTGGGCTCTGCAGCCCGGTAAGAAGCTGGGGGTGGGGTGGGGCACAGTTTGCCATCCTGCGCCAAGTGACGAATTCAAAAATATTCTGCTCTATTAGCATAAAGTTCGCATCTAATTAGCATGAGATCCATTTAATCGCAGAGACCTCCACTATTCTCGCCCTCGAGTTCTATGTGTGCCCCTATCTCAGCCGGTCCCGAGCCCCCGCAGGCGGAGTGTCCCTGCGCCCCACCCCTGGCCTCCCGCCAGCCCGGGCTCCAGGACTTCGCCTTAATTGGCCATTAGTCTAAGCTGGAGTCCCAGGGCCTGGAGGAAAGAAGGTCCTGAGACAGGGCGGCACTTGTGTTGTGTTCCCCCACAAATAGCTCCCCATACACGGACCCCATACCGGGGGTGCCTTTCTCCATTCCCGCGCGGCGGGGGACAGCCCCAAACTCAGAACATCTTCGCACAGGCCAAGGCCCCATCCACCAAGTCCTTCTTCACTGCAGAGGCCAAGGGGAGACCTGGGCAGACCCTGCCGACAGACTGAACCCCAACCTCAGCGCTCCGCAGAGCCCGGGATGCGGGAGGGAGGGGGACCCCGGGGCGGGGGACCCCGGGCTGGGGAGCGGAAAAAGCGCTGGGGACGTGGAGTGGGAACGTGGTGGTGCCTGGGGGAGGGGCGATCGGGGCGGGAACCCGGCGCAGGCTGGAGGGGGAACGCGAGGGAGAGGGCGGAGCTGGGCCGCAGAGGCCCCGCCCCGTGGCGGCCCCGCGGCCCGGCCTGTTATTCGGCTTGCCGCTCCGCTGGGACCCGCACCGCGCCAGTGGCTCGGGGGTCGGCCCTTGCTTCCTCCCCGACCCGGGCCTAGAGACACCCCCAACCAGAGGCCGGAGACAGCTGGAGCGGCTGCCGCATCCCGGCCCAGCCTCCCCTACCATCCCTCCCCGCTCCAGTGGACATCTGGACCCTGGGCCCCCCGCACCGACAGGGTTCCGGAAACCCTCCCCGCCCAGTCCGGCGGCCGGGGCCCACGCCTCCCTCTCTCCAGAGCCCCCCAGCACGCCTCAAGACTAGACTTCCGCCTACCCCCTGGACACCTCCTCCCGATCCCCTCCCTCCCCCAGTCCCACAGCCTGGACCAGGGTAGGGGGGGGCAGTGTGCGCCCGGCGCCGTCCCCGCCCCGCCCCCCTTGATTCCCCCTGCATGGCCGGCCCGGGTGGGGGGCGAGGGGGGGCCCGGGCGCCATGCGGGGGGAGCACAAAGGGGGTCGCTGTGCCTGTCCCCGTGTGATCCGAAAAGTGCTGGCAAAATGCGGCTGCTGCTTCGCCCGGGGGGGACGTGGTGAGTGCCAGGTCGAAAGGGCCCAGTGTTGAGAGGGGGGCGGGCTGGGGGTTCAGGGCTTCTGTTTGCCCTGGCCCTCCAGATTTATGTGTTTCCAGGAAAGTGGTTTCTTAAGTGATCTCTAAGGTTCCTTCTGCCTCCAAATTTCTGTTAGTTCAAGTTAAGGAAATTGGGGAAGGGGCAGGGAACTCATCTCTTTCCCTTAATCAAATGAGTTTGAGAAAAACCCACCACAATCCCCTTAGGCCTAGAACCGGTATCTTTCCTCAAACCTTTTGCTAAGAATCTACTTCTGAAGAGGGTCAGGGGAATGGAGGAATGAGAATGAGGGGGTTCTACAAGGGGCTTTATAAGGAATCATAGCTCTTCTGTCCCTGAGACCAGGCCAGAGATAACCCTGATGGATACTCCTCACTGGCCTCCTCTATTGAGTCTATGCACAGGTTGGGGAGGTGGGCTGTAGAAGTCTTTTCTTTTTATAGTGATTACTGCAATTGGTGGAGGAGGGGACTGGGAGTGGCAGATGGACCCAGCTCATCCTCCCCCCTTCCCAGAGAATGGTCTGTACCCATTGAAAGGGGGAGGGTTGTAGGAGAGCAGATGGCCACCCCCAGCTTCCAGTGTCTGCCCAGATGGCTGCCCCCGCCCTCATATCTATGCTATGCTCAGGATATGGGGAACTTCCACATGTAACTGGGGGTTCCAGGCCTGGAAAGCCAGATGTTTACCTTACTGTGCTTTCTCCCAAGGGTGCCCTGGTGAAAATTTCTATCCTGGCCAACTCAAATGAGGATGGCAAGAGAGTAAGCCTTGGGAGAGAGAGGCTGAGCATCATGGAGAGGAGATCCTGGGAGTTCGCTGGGACCCTGAGTCTGGAGCTGGGGCAAGGTCTATCACCTCCTGTCTTTTTCCTCCATTAGAATCCTATTCCATTGCTGGCAGTGAGGGGAGTATATCGGCTTCTGCTGCCTCCGGATTGGCTGCCCCCTCTGGCCCCAGCTCTGGCCTCAGCTCTGGCCCCTGTTCCCCAGGCCCCCCAGGGCCGGTCAGTGGCCTGAGGAAATGGTTGGATCATTCCAAACATTGTCTCGGTGTGGAAACTGAGGCAGACAGTGGTCAGCCGGGACCATATGAGGTGAGCATGGAATGCCACAGAAGCATGTTGGACATCCATGAAGGACACTGGCAGAGAGGGCAAGTTGGGGCCACCCAGCTACTGTCCCTGACCTCTGACACCTGATTTCTGGCCCCCAGAACTGGATGTTGGAGCCAGCTGTAGCCACAGGAGAGGAGCTGCCAGAACTGACCTTGCTGACCACATTATTGGAGGGCCCTGGAGATAAGACGCAGGTGTGAGGACAGGCTCTGGGGAGGCTCCTTTCTCTCAAGGGGCATTCATTTGCTCACCCTAGGATGCTCTTTCCTTCCAGCCACCTGAAGAGGAGACTTTGTCCCAAGCCCCTGAGAGTGAGGAGGAACAGAAGAAGAAGGCTCTGGAAAGGAGTATGTAAGTGTCCACAGCCCATCCCTGCAGTTGCACACCTTCCAGAAGACTGTCCCTCACATTTTTGATGGAGTTTCCTCAGAAGTTGGCTATGATGATGAAGGGGAGGAATGAGGAACGGGCTGAACCAAGGATGCGCTCCGACGCTGAAGTGGGGGTGTCCTCCTGCTTTCATCCTAGGTATGTCCTGAGTGAACTGGTAGAAACAGAGAAAATGTACGTGGACGACTTGGGGCAGATTGTGGAGGTAGCTCCCTTTACCCCTTCCCAGCCTGTCCCTCCTACCCTTTCCATCCGCCCAGGGCTATTTTCAGGAGGTGCCTGGATGCTCCTCTGTCCCATCTCTCAAGCCTCCCCACTCCTGGACCTTCCTACTCTGGGGGCAGGGCGGCTCCCACCAGGGACAGAGAGGTGGAACACACCCTGGGTATGTGTACAGGAGCAGCATAAAGGTGGTGAGGGGACCACCACACGGCTCATGACCCAACCTCAACCTTCCCACAGGGTTACATGGCCACCATGGCTGCTCAGGGGGTCCCCGAGAGTCTTCGAGGCCGTGACAGGATTGTGTTTGGGAACATCCAGCAAATCTATGAGTGGCACCGAGAGTGAGTGGTGGAACCTGAGGGCCAGGAGCTGGGGAGGGGCCTCCTCTGTATCTGTTTCCCAACATCAGCCCTCTGCGACTTAAGGAATGTTTGGAGAAGTTTTGTAGGACACAGTACCAGGGCAGACAGCTCGAAACTGCGGGGAGTGGGCGAGGTAGGGGTTCTGAAATGTATTTGACCTGCCCTTCTCTACAACCCCTCCAGCTATTTCTTGCAGGAGCTAAGACGGTGTTTGAAAGATCCTGATTGGCTGGCTCAGCTATTCATCAAACACGTGAGGTTTCAGGGGGCGGGGTTTGGGGCGGGGCTTAGGAATGAGTTGGGATTCTCTGGAGATGTGTCCTCCCTACTTGCCTATTCTGCTCTCTCTTAAATATTACCCCTCTTAGGAGCGCCGGCTGCATATGTATGTGGTGTACTGTCAGAATAAGCCCAAGTCGGAGCATGTGGTGTCGGAGTTTGGGGACAGCTACTTTGAGGTCAGTGGCTGAGATGTTTTGGTGGGAAGGGGGACAGAGTTGGGGCTTTCCAGGCTGCATAACCACCCTGTCCCTATCCCCAGGAGCTCCGGCAGCAGCTGGGGCACCGCCTGCAGCTGAACGACCTCCTTATCAAACCTGTGCAGCGGATCATGAAATACCAGCTGCTGCTTAAGGTCAGGACCCCCTTTTTCCTGGGGGCACAGCTGGCTGGCACAGTCGTTTCCTCATTCATCTCCCTGGAGTTTTTACGGCTCCCCCAGACTTCCCGAGGGCCCTCAACCGTGTCCTCATGGGAGGATGTGAGAGCTTCTAAGGGTGTCCTTGTGACCTCCCTGAGCGTTTCTTCTCTCTGTCTTAGGATTTTCTCAAGTATTACAGTAGAGCTGGGATGGATACTGCAGAGCTAGAGGTGAGGACCCCAGGTCTTCCCGGATGCACGATGTGCTCCTTATCCTCTTAGTTTCTCAGGGGTTCCCCCGGCTCCTTGTGTGGTTTACAGCTGTCTGGTTTTTAGTGGGAGGCTGGTTGGGTTTGAGACACTGTCTGAAGAGGCAACTGGCTGAGAAGGCCTCTTTCCCAATAATCTCTTCGCCAACAATATGCCTCCCTCACCTGTGTCCCAGCAAGCTGTGGAGGTCATGTGCTTTGTGCCCAAGCGCTGCAACGATATGATGACGCTGGGGAGATTGCGGGGATTTGAGGTACGGAGATAGGCAGGAAACTGGAGGCCAGATTCGCTTCTGTCCCAGTCCTAGCACTCTAGAGGTCCTTATGGGGAGTTGTCTTTTCCTGGGGCTGACCCCATGGTTGGTTGGGCATGTCGGGCGAGGGAGGGAGGAGCAGAGAATTGCCCTTTCTCTTCTTGCTCTTCTTCCAAGGCCACTATCTTTTTGGTTTCAGGGCAAACTGACTGCTCAGGGGAAGCTCTTGGGCCAGGACACTTTCTGGGTCACTGAGCCTGAGGCTGGGGGGCTGCTGTCTTCCCGGGGTCGAGAGAGGCGCGTCTTCCTCTTTGAGCAAATTGTCATCTTCAGTGAAGCCCTGGGAGGAGGAGTGAGAGGTGGAGCACAGCCTGGATATGTATACAAGAGCAGCATTAAGGTGGGGAGAGGGCCACATCAGAGGGCTTGGACAGAGAGGTCTGTGAGAGGATATCTCAGAGAGTCAGAGAGGGCCTGAGGAATCTGGGGGCTGTCTCCTATCTGCCAATTCAGGTGAGCTGCCTGGGACTGGAGGGGAACCTCCAAGGTGACCCTTGCCGCTTTGCACTGACCTCCAGAGGGCCAGAGGGTGGGATCCAGCGCTATGTCCTGCAGGCTGCAGACCCTGCTGTCAGTCAGGCCTGGATCAAGCATGTGGCTCAGATCCTAGAGAGCCAGCGGGACTTCCTCAACGGTGAAGTTCTCATCCTTTCTCCCCGATGTACTCTCAGCCCCTTGACCTCCTGAATCCCTCACTGCCCAGTCTCCAGTCCCTACCCTCTGAGCATGGCCCCTCCCCTTTTCCACTCCTAGCTCAAAATTTGATAGAATCCCCTAAAGCCCCATTCTCCCACTTTGCCCTCCCTCCTCATTAGCTGACAGGGAGGGAGGGCAAAGTGGGAGAATGGTACAGGCCCTAGGGAAGAGACCTGTTAGAATGGTAACCCTTCTTCTGTTCCTCTCTGCTCCAGCATTGCAGTCACCCATTGAGTACCAGAGACGGGAGAGCCAGACCAACAGCCTGGGGCGGCCAGGAGGGCTTGGGGTGGGGAGCCCTGGGAGAATTCGGCTTGGAGATCGGGCCCAGGGTAGTGCACACACACCCATCAATGGCTCTCTCCCTTCCCTGCTGCTGTCACCCAAAGGGGAGGTGGCCAAAGCCCCCTTGCCCTTGGATACACAGGTATGATGAATAGAGTTCCCTGGTTGTAGGGATAAAAGGGGAGAGCCTTTCTTGCTCTGGGACCCCCAAACTCTCTCCCCATACCATTCCTTCCTTTTATCTGGCCCTTCCTACTTCCCATCCTTTCCCCTCCTCCCCTTCATTTTAACTCTGGAGAAGCTGATAGTCTCAGATAATCTAAGATATCTGGCAAGAGGAGGTGGCTTGGCTAGGGACTTAAACTGAAAGGAGAGAAGTGAAGGTAGATTTCTGGCCTTTTTGATCCTCTGACTTCAATCTTTTCTTCAGGCCCTTGGTGACATCCCACAGGCTCCCCATGACTCTCCTCCAGTCCCTCCAACTCCAAACACCCCTCCCTGCCAAGCCAGACTTGCCAAGCTGGATGAAGATGAACTGTAACTGGTGAAAACCGTGGGGGTGGTGCTGACTCAGCTGCCTGTTCCCAAGGAGCTTCAGGGCAGTCCTTCTGGCACTGCTCTGGAATTCCTCCTTCTTGGTGTGTCTGGAGGGTGGGCAAGGCTGGGAGAGCTATCAACTTGGAGGAGAGCACCTAGACCCAAGGACTTTTTTCCACCCAAGGAACGCATGTTCCTTCCACTCCCACCTCTATGCATGCATCATGATCGCCCCAAAAGGAGGATATCTGGGTGGGTGGGAGGGCTGAGGCAGGGGCCAGATAGAAATTATTGGTTTTGTTTTTTAATTTTGTTTTTCCTGTTTTCTGAGAATAAAGATTTTGTTATATCATGAGGCTGCTGTATTGGCAGAGGGAAGGGGAGGCTGTAGTGGGGGCAGGTGGAGTGAAATGATATGGAAGAGAATGGTTGGCCCCAGCCATTGGAGGAGGGGGTCTGGTGAAAGGAGAAGCAGACAGAGTGTAGATAAAAGACGTTGCTATCTTTGTTCCTTAACCGCAGTTGCAGCATCTCTCAATCCAGACCTGAGGCATGGAACCACTGGAAAGCCCTTGATTATTCTTTTTTTTTTTGGTAGAGTCAGGGTCTCACTATGTTGCCCAGGCTGGTCTTGAACTCCTGGGCTTAAGTAATCTACCTTCCTCGGCCTCCTAAAGTGCTTGGATTACAGCTGTGAGCCATTGCACCCGGCCAGCCCTAGACTCTTTACCCATCCCTTCTTTCCCCCTACTCACCCTCTGGTCTAGACCCTACCCTCTGGTCTAGACCCTCAATGCAGTGACTTCTCATTCCCCCAACACCCAGATACTAAAGCACAAAATGTCCAATGTACCTTTCATTCTGAGGCTGCCCTGTGCAGCTGAGGATGAGAAGGTGGAGAGGATCCTGGGGGCTGTGGCCCTTTCCTGTCTCTGGGTCTCCTTATCTTTGCTCTCTGCGAGGTCGTAAGCCACGTTCATAGTGAGCAGGAGGGGATTCTTCTTTAAGCCTTGGGCCCAAGAATGGAGACCCCAAGGGGGTCTTCACCCCTCCCAACTTCTGGGAGAACCGCTGGAACGGAGAGAGCCAAACATGCAGACAGCCATGTCCAGATGCCCTGTCCTGGGTCCTTATGTATCTGTGTGTCCACTGTGTCCATTCCTCCCTTGGGCTTAGTCACGTGCACTTGGGCTTCCTTAGCATACAATAGGCTGTTGGGGTGGAAGGGTGAGGAGGAGAGCTGGAGCCTCCCTGTGGGCCCGAGGTCCCTCTGGCCGACAATGGGGGGAGGGATCTCTAAGGGGGGGACAGGACGTAGTGCCCAGATAAGACTTCTGGGGAACAATAGGAGGAATTGAAGAGGGGAGACCCACCCTCACTGCACCACACCCCCAGGGCTTTGGGGTCATGGACTGGGGGGACCAGAGTGTCATGGGAGGGGTGCTGAAGATTCTTGCGAATGGAGGAGGGGATCCTGGCAAACAGCAGGATTCTGGAGTTCAGAACCTTTGTATTTCTTTAGGAACCATAGGGACACATGGGGTGGGTGGTTGACTCCTTTGCACTTAGTTTAACCACGTATGTGCTTTTGAGTGCCCACTTTGTGAACAGCATTTTTTTTTTTTGTTTGTCTGTGATGGATTCTTGCTCTGTCACCCAGGCTGGAGTCCAATGGCGCCATCTCGGCTCACTGCAACCTCCACTTCCTGGGTTCAAGCGATTCTCCTGCCTAAGCCTCCTGAGTAGCTGGGATTACAGGCGTGTGCCACCACACCCAGCTAATTTTTGTATTTTTAGTAGGGGTGGGGGTTTCAACATGTTAGGCTGGTCTGGAACTCTTGACCTCAGGTGATCTGCTCACCTCGGCCTCCCAAAGTGCTGGGATTACAGGCGTGAGCCATGCCTGTGAAAAGCATTTAAATGTGATAAATGGTGCCTAAAAAAAAATTCCTATGGGTTCAATATTTCCCCTGAGGCCCTAAACTGGGCCCAGCTACTCCCCACAGAGGTGAGGGTGCTGGTTCTGTCCAATCCACGTAGGCTACATTCCATGTCAGTAGGACATGAAACTGCAGAGGCCAGAAGAGCCCCTGACACTTTTTTGGAGCCAGCTGTGCCCCATGAAGATGTGGGTCTGGGTGTGGTTCAGAATGGGCGCTGAACTTTCTTGCTCTGCCGGGGAGAACGCTGCGGCTCAGGGAAGGACCAGTGACCCAAGAGGAACAAGCCTCTGTCTCTGCCGATGGGGAAAAGAACCCGGAGTGAAGTGAAAAGTCTAAGAAGTAAATAGTGGGTGTTGGGTGTTGGGGTGCGCTTGCCTTTCGGCCTCTGGCCTCTCTGTCTCTCTAATCTCTATTTCCACAATCACACGAGCCAGCGATCGGATCCGGCCAAGGATGTCTGCGGAAATGCCTAACAGAGACTCTCCCTCCTCGAGCCGCAACTCTCGCCAGACCCGAGAAGGTCCTCAACAGAGGGTGCCCTCCAGGGCCGGATTGGACCCTGCTTTGTGGGAGGCGGGACTCAGGGCTAGCGGATGGAGGGGTATTTAAGGCCGTGCTCAATTGGAGGTGGCCAAGGGCAAAATGAGCGGGATTCTGGGCGCCGGGACCTACCCAGGCCCGGGAGACACCTCTGACCTTAAGTACCCCGTGGGAACCAGGCTCAGGGAAGCTCTCACCGAGACTCGGTTTCATCAGCTCTTCCGGAGCGAAGAGCTGGAGCTGGAGCGACCTGTAGAGCGCCGCTTTCCCCGGCTCTGCGGACCACGGAGGCTGCGGGCTGGCTCCTGTTCCACGACGGGGGCGTGGCGCCTGCTGCTGGCTCTGCTGCCCCCGCTGCACTGGCTGCCCCATTACCGCTGGCGGGCCTGGCTGCTTGGAGACGCGGTGGCTGGAGTGACCGTGGGCATCGTGCACGTGCCCCAGGGTGAGAGGCCCTAACACCAGCCTGTCAGGAGCACAAGCTCTAGAGGGCTTCCGGGAGGAGGCGTAGGGAGCTGAGAATCCGGGAGCAGGTGGTGGGTTCGTGCCGCTGAGGATGGGAGAGAGGGATCTGAGGCCAAGTTCGGGGTAAGGACTGTGAGCTCCATCAGATCCCCACCTCCACCTCCCCTCATCTACCTGCAATCCTGCCAGAAGTCTTGGACAGGTTCTGGCTCAGAGAGCTGGAGAGAGGCACAAAAAGCCAGGCCCCCAGGACTTGGTCACAGGATCTCTGACCTTGTCTACCCCATGACCTCCCACTGAGGCCCATTAACCCCTCAGTTCCCTCTTGAGGCATGATTTAGCATCCTTGATGCCAGCCCCTAAGACTGTGGGAAGGGAGTGAGTCCTGGAGCTTGGGCAAAGCCCCCTCCCCACAGCACACCGTTCCTTCCACTTCTATCCCAGGCATGGCTTTTGCCCTCCTGACCTCCGTGCCCCCGGTGTTTGGACTCTACACTTCTTTCTTTCCCGTCCTCATCTACAGCTTGCTGGGTACTGGGAGACACCTGTCCACAGGTGAGTGACCAGGGACTTCCAATGACTCCTCTTCCCTGTGGGGTGGAAATGGACAGGGGCTCTTCCCGTCTTCCTTATTTCCCTCTTCACTTCTCCCACCTTCACTTCCCTCCTTGGCCAACCCTGCCAGGAAACTGACCTAGGCAATTCTCCTAGAGTGGGTGCAAAGAGATGGGAGATTACCTGAACTTTTTTCCCCTATGAAATTTAGTTAAAATGAACATCTCAGGGACTCAGAAGGGAAAGAAGAGGTGCATAGGCAGAGAATCTGCAGGAGGGAGCAGTTTTTGCCAACTGGCGCAGCTCTTCGTGCCCCACAGTCTTGACGGGGCAGCAGCCTTCCTGGAGAGCGAAGTCTGGCAGCAGCATCTCGGCCCCAGAGCGTGGAGCCTGAGCTGTTGCCCTTCCCAGGGCTGCCCAGCTGGTGATGTCTGCATGTGTCCCCCATGGCAGGAACTTTCGCCATACTCAGCCTCATGACAGGCTCCGCTGTCGAGCGGCTAGTGCCAGAACCCCTCGTGGGGAACCTGAGCGGAATCGAGAGAGAGCAGTTGGACGCTCAGCGGGTTGGGGTAGCCGCCGCAGTGGCCTTCGGGAGCGGGGCGCTGATGGTGAGGGAGGATCTGGGGAGGACCCCGGGGGATCCCTGCTGGGGGCCCGGGAAAATTGGGCTGGGGGAGAGAGAGGGACCAGCCTCCGGCTCGGATTCGGGAGGGCTGAGGTACGCGGGGTTGGTCTGCTTCTTCTCTAGTTGGTGACTGCGCGTCTTCTCCCCCGCAGCTGGGGATGTTCGCGCTGCAGCTCGGCGTCCTGTCCACCTTTTTGTCGGAGCCTGTGGTCAAGGCGCTGACCAGCGGAGCCGCGCTGCACGTGCTCGTGTCCCAGCTGCCGAGCCTCTTGGGCTTGTCCCTCCCGCGCCAGATCGGCTGCTTCTCTCTCTTCAAGGTGGAGTTGGGAGACGAGAGAAGCGGCTTCTAGAGGTCCCGGGAATAGGGAAACTCGAAAAAGGAGGAAGGACGGAGGGTGGAGGGATAGTGTGTGACAGGGGCGCTGGGAAGGTTGGAGCCACGTGGCTGAACGAGGGCGCTGCGGAGGTGGAAGCCCTGGTGGCACTTGGGAGAGAGGGCTTCGCTCTGGGGGCCCGCGCCGGGGCGCATGAACCCTGGCACGGGGCCCTCTGCTCACCGCCCCTGCCCGCAGACGCTGGCCGGCGTGCTGACTGCGCTGCCCCGGAGCAGTCCGGCTGAACTGACCATCTCGGCGCTCAGCCTGGCGCTGCTAGTGCCGGTCAAGGAATTGAACGTGAGATTCCGAGACCGGCTACCCACGCCGATCCCGGGGGAAGTCGTCATGGTGAGGATGGCCGTGTGCGCCGGCCCCTGCCGACACAGACCCTGCCGTCCTGTGGGAACTGGCCGCTGCCGCCCCCTGGTGGAGTGCAGAGAGGCCACCGACCAGAGGGCCGGCTCACACTCACTTTCCCAGGCCTCCTAGAGGAGAACGCTTTGACCTTCCACATTCCCCCTAGACAATGACACACGTCTCTCACGGAGCCCCCTCTAGACCTCTTAGAGTACCTTTCGCCATCCTACAGCGCTCCCTTGAAGTCTTGCTGGTCACAGCACCTTCTCTGACATCTGTCCTCACCAGGGTCCTTCTCTGTAATTCACAGTGCACTCCACCCTCCACCGATATTTCTCTCTCTTCCACTAAACAAACGTTCCGCATCTCCACTGATGCCAGTATATCACTAGATACCGCCCAGCTTCTCTCTTTGGAAGGCTCAGTGGCATCTCTTCATATCCACCATCCTTCACAGAAGCCTCCTCTTACTTCTGCCATGGCAGCGCTCTGTGGCCTCAGGCATACATCATTCCTCTTTCCCAGCTCCACATTCCAAATCAGTTGTCAGGCCCCCATGCCAAACATATCCTGCTCCCCCAGGTGCTGGGCTCCTGAAACCAGCTAAGCCTGCATTATGGTCCCCTCTCATGCTCAGCCTTTCTAGCTTTTGCCAGGGCCCCCATCCCTCCCCTTGCCTTCATTTTGCTCTCTTTCTCAGGTGCTTCTGGCCTCTGTGCTCTGCTTCACCTGTTCCCTGGACACAAGATACAACGTCCAGATAGTAGGGCTGTTGCCTGGAGGGTAAGGCAGAACGAAAAGACGCCAGCTTTCTCTTCTCCCACCTCCCCCACCCAACACTTCCTCTTATCTCTGCACCTCCCCCATTTTCTCTGCCTTCCCTATCTCACTGCAGCACCCAACCCCTCCTCACCATGGATCCCTCCCTCTCCAGATTGCCCCAACCCCTCCTTCCCAACCTGGCTGAGCTGCCCAGGATTCTGGCTGACTCACTGCCCATCGCACTGGTTACTTTTGCGGTATCTGCCTCCCTGGCCTCCATTTATGCAGACAAGTATAGCTACACCATTGACTCCAACCAGGTGGGACTCTGACTGTGGACCCCAACCCTCTCATCTGACTCTCCACCATACCTTTGTCTCTTCTGCTTCATCTCACTGCATCCCTCCAGGAGCTCCTGGCACATGGTGCCTCCAACCTCATCTCCTCCCTCTTCTCTTGCTTTCCCAACTCGGCTACGCTGGCCACCACCAGTCTACTAGTGGATGCTGGTGGGAAAACACAGGTAAGACGGCATCCTTGGGCGAGGAGAAAGGATGGGCCATTCAGGCAAGGTGGTGGTGGTGGTGGAGGAACAGGTGGAAAATGGCTAGATACCCAGGTGGCATCTATATAGAAAATGGGGATCTGTGAGGGAGGTTGAGTGAGGGGATAGACTTATAGATAGGAGGGATGGAAAATACTATTGTTCCATTAAGACCTTTGTAGGCTCTAAGCACTAAAAAGTTTGTGGTGCCCTGATGTGGTTCAAAATTAAAACACAAAACCATAAAGTAAACTTAAGAGATAAAATTCTTATTTTTTTCACACGACATTGTCTTTTAAAAGAAATATCACGTATCAAAGTCTCCCCCTAATATTTTTGGTTTCCCTTACTTTGCTGGTACCCAAGCACGTGGTTAGCCTGCTTATAGGATAATCCCACAGTGGCTTTTAAGGTGGAGGTGGGCTGCAAAACTTGGATACTTTAACAACAGACATCTACAGAGAGACTGGCAAATGATATGCATTTAATTAATCAGGGAAGGGGAGAGTTAGATGTGAATGGCAGAATATTAAGGAGGGGGTTGTGTGAAAGGAGATTTGGGAGAAGGGAGACTTCTGAGGAAGATAAGGCAGAGTGGGCAGGGAGACCAGCTCTCACGTTGTGGGGGAGGCTCCCTTCCTTTTTTGCTTCCACCCCCTCCTTCCCTCTAGCTGGCAGGCCTCTTCTCCTGCATAGTGGTTCTGTTGGTGCTACTGTGGCTCGGGCCCTTCTTTTACTATCTGCCCAAGGTAAGGAGCAGAGGAGGCGTGAGCATGGCTGGGAGGGGTGGCTGTATTCCAGGACATTGAGGTAGTCAGTCCACCTCCTCTGCCTCAAGGCTGTCCTGGCTTGCATCAACATCTCCAGCATGCGCCAGATGTTCTTCCAGATGCAGGAACTTCCACAACTATGGCGCATCAGCCGCATGGACTTTGTGAGAAATGGCATTATCCCCAATTGCCCCCTCCCATCTTCTTAGCATCCCCAGCCTCTGCTCTAAACCAAAGCAAATTGTCTGGTCCTAAGTTCTGCAACCCACCCATTCACTCAGTACATATAACTCCTAATACCCTTTACTCACAGGCAAGGGAAAGGGTGGGGTTTGAAGCCCTTGGGCCTGAATATTTGTAACTTCCCAATTAGTGCAGGTGTGTGTCCCATTCAATCACTCCTGTTATTTCCCTCTGTCATGCTTTCTACTCCTTCCTGGGTCATCTCTCCCCATCACTTGCCTTGGTAGTCACTGCCCTGGATCTCTTTCCCCAGCAGCGATGGCCTGGCTTTTCTTTTGGGCAATCCACCCCCTCCCTGTATTGCAGGCTGTGTGGATGGTCACATGGGTGGCTGTAGTGACCCTGAGTGTGGACCTGGGCCTGGCTGTGGGTGTGGTCTTCTCCATGATGACTGTGGTCTGTCGCACCCAGAGGTGGGCACAGAGATGAGTGGAATTGAGGTCGGGGCAGGGGAGAGAATGAGGTGCTTGGGATGACTCCCCAGCCAGGCCAGGCTAAACTGGAAATCTGACCCCATTTTTTTCCCTAGGGTGCAGTGCCTGGCACTTGGACAGGCTGAGGGGACAGAGCTCTACAGGCCACTCAAAGGAAGCCACAAGGTGGGTGAGCTGCAGCCAAAGAAGGAAGGGAAGATTGGCCCCACATGTTTCTCTGACCCTCTGACCTCTTAGCTCCTTCAGGTCCCAGGGCTCTGCATCCTGAGCTATCCAACACCACTCTACTTTGGGACCCGCGGGCAGTTTCGCCGCAACCTGGAGTGGCACCTGGGGCTTGGAGAAGGAGGAACGGTGAGGGAGCTTGGTTTAGGAGGGATGTGGATCCCCAGGGAGTGGGAGGCAGGTGGGCGTTCTGAGGGGACCCTTATGCTCAAGGGGTGTATGTTCATGCTGTGTCTGGGAGTGGTGACTGCCTTTCTTTACTCATAGGAGACTTCAAAGCCAGATGGCCTAACTGTTGCAGGTGAGATGGGATGACGAGAAGGAAGATTTGGGCATGCTGCATGGTGGCACCTGGGTACTCCTGTCTTCTCCCATTCTAGCTGCTGAGCCTGTCAGAGTGGTGGTCCTAGACTTCAGTGGTGTCACCTTTGCAGATGCTGCTGGGGCCAGAGAAGTGGTGCAGGTGAGGGAGAGGGTGGGTTGAAGAGACACTCCTTATCATCTCACTCATACCCTCTGATCTGGGACTTCACCCCCTTGCCCCACCCTGCAGCTGGCCAGCCGATGTCGAGATGCTAGGATCCGCCTCCTCTTGGCTCAGTGTAATGGTGAGATGTGTGGAGAAGGGTGGGGCCCAGTGCCTGGGCAATGACTGGATGCCTGCAGGAGGGAAAAGGACCCAGTGTGGATTTAGGGTCTCAGAGCCTGACACCCTCCCCCATAGCCTCGGTGCTGGGGACGCTGACCCGGGCAGGACTCCTGGACAGGGTGACTCCAGATCAGCTGTTTGTGAGTGTGCAGGATGCAGCTGCTCATGCCCTGGGGAGCCTGCTAAGGGGACAGTAGCACCAGGAGCAGGAGCCAGGAGGTGCCGGGCTGCAGCAAATGAGGCAGGGGTAAGTGGCTGGAGACCCAGGGAGAGGGGTTTGGGAAAGGGTCTGTGGAGAAAGATCAAGAAGAAAAGGGTGGAGCCAGAATGAATAGTGGATTGAAGACCAACTCAGGGAGCCTGAGCTATGGGTGAAGAACTGAAGAACTCAGATCCCTAAGTTGGTGGGGTACCCCTGAGAGGACTGCCACATTTCAAGGGAGAGGGTGCTTAATCTATTCCTGACATGTCTCCTCTCTTCTCCAGGAGCCCACTGACCATAAGATTTGCACAGTGTGGGTCTGACCTCATCACTTGGAGTGCAGAGGGCCCCAGTGACATGTGTGTGATGAGGACCATGACCCCTGAGCCCCCTTACCTAATGTAACTAATAAAATGAAGCTGAGTGCTTTGGAATCCATGAAGTGAGTCTAGCTGTTTGCACAGGGACTCTGGTGCCCCTTCTTTTGTGCCCACAGCATTGCAGAGACACACTAAGAATGGCTTTCACCATGTGTTCACCAGCCCTCGCCCCAGCCCCAGAGCCACAAGTTCTGTCTGTGGGGGTGGGGCTGGAGCATGCGCACAGAGTACTGGATTTGAAGATGCAGGTGAAGGGCACTGTCTTGAGATCACGTGTTGGAGAACTTCCCCACCCCTTCAGTCCCAAGAAGATGAGAGGACAGACGGTGTTCTCACCTTAGGTTCTTAGAGTCCCCCTGGGCTCTTTGGCACTTGGAAAGTGATCCCCCCATTTCCTGCCCCATGAGAATGGGGAGAGGGAGGACTTGGCACTGGCTGTGGGAGAGGTTATGGCTCCACCAGGCCTCTGGGCACTCAAAAAAGGAGGGGTGTTACCAGGACAACCCCGATTGGGCATCCAGTTTGGAAAGGGAAGAGTGAGGAACTAGGGGCTCAGGGACAGTCAGTAGAGTGCTCACAGGGTGGTGGGGTTTGCTGGAAATTCCTGGCAGGGACAAGGAGGCAGGCTCAGCCTGACAGTCAGAAATCCCCTGCGGGCCATCACTGGGAGGTCATGCACTGCAGCCGGTGTTTGAAGAAGAGCAGCCGGTGTTTGGCCATCTGGCTCTCGTCCAGTGATCCTGGGTAACGGTACCGGGCATAAGTCTCTGCACCGGCATCCCTTGATGTCCAAGGCAGCTTCAATTTGGATGCATGATCTACCACGACATCGGAGCAGGAGCCAACCCGAAGGGAACCAAGCCCATCCAGGAAGAATTCTGGGGGTAGAGGGGAGTGCACAGTAAGGCGTCCTGAGGGTGCAGAAGGCCGACCACTAAGGGAGAACTCAAATTTAGGGAGTGCAAAGTGTGTGCGCAAAGACTTTTTTCTAAGGACCTTGAGCATGTAAGTCAACTCCTGGATCTCACTTTTACTCTTGTGTAAATGGAGTCAATGTACTTGTGCTTTGAAAACGGAAAAACCTACCCCCACTCCCAGAGGTTAAATAAACGCCAGATGGATTGCACCAACTGTAGTCTGAACTAGGGGAAGTGCTGGCAGTAGAGTAGCGGTGGTGGGAACAGTGGTGGGTAAGCTTATGGGGGCCCAGTGGCTGTCCTGGGAATGGAGGCTTAAAGGGTATGCGTGGCTGGGAGAGGGTGGGTCTCTCGCCCAAGTGTAGGTCTTGCTAAATCACTGCAGAACTGTTCTAGGGTTCCCGGTGGCGGCTGGGCGCAGGTGCGGCAGAGGAGAGACCCGGGGCGGGGGGGGGGGGGGGGGGGGGGGGTGGGCCTTGTGCCAGCGCCTCGTGGGGCTGCTGACAGGGTCGGCCGGGAGGGGGCGCCACTCACCCAGGTGAGCCACGCGGCTGAGGCGGGGATCGAAGCCGACCTCGCGCACCTTGTCAGTCCGCGCCAGGAAGAAGTTAACCACACCATCGGTGACCACGCAGCCTGGGAAGCCGACGAGCTCGTGGTGGAAGCCGCGCCTTTGCCGGAGGCAGTTCCCGAGGCCTGGGGCGCCGGGATCCACGCTCAGCAGCTGCCGGTAGGTGGTGGCGAAGCCGGAGATCTCGCGCACCGCACCCCCGACCTGCAGGGAGAAGGAGGCTGGCTCCGGGAGGGCCGGGGACAAGGGACCCGAAGCGGGCAGATCTGCGCTCTGGTGCCTTTGGGGGTACCCCTGCCTCATCCTCTTCGGCTCCACCCCTGCAGGACCCAGACAGTTCCCAGGCCCCACTTCGTGGTCCTCTCTGTCTCAGGGCTGGCCATTCCTGGCCGCAGGGCCCCGCCGTGGCCTTAGCCTGTTCAAGGCCCTTCTCCACCCCACATCCCGCGGCCCCTGCCCTACCAGGTCCAGCGGCGTCCGCTCCAGCACGTCCACAAGCCTCTCCAGCCGCGTCCGTGCGGTGAAGATGAAGTCGTCATCCACCCACAGCACGTACTTGGTGGTTACTTGGGACACGGCCAGGTTCCGGCCCGCGAACCAGCCCTGGAGGAAAGGTGTATGTAGTTGGGGAGGCTGCAGAATAGGACCTGGCCCTCTGCCACCTTTCTTTCTCTCCTGCGACCCTTCTCAGCCCGTGTCCTTCTCCTGACTTTTGAGTGCTTTTGAATGGCCTGGAGTTACGTAAAAAAAAAAAAGCAGCTCCCCACAGAGGTTCCGAGTCAGTGGTCTTGGAATGTGTTTAGTTTCTGCGTGCATTTATTTATTCATTCATCAGCTTTTTTATTGAATGCCATCAGGCACTAAGCACCATTCTAAGAATGCAGAGAGAATTTCCTGCTCCCACAAAGCTTACATTCCAGGAATCCTCATGCTTAATGGGCACCCCATGATTCTGAGGAAGGTGGTCCTCGAATCACCACCCTGGAGGTGGCTGCAGATTAAGAGTGTCCCCCTGAGGGAGTCCTCTGGCCTCCATTCCGCCTGCCGGCTGCACACCTTGCCAAAGGGCATGAGATAGTGCTCCACGTAGGGGCCACTAACGCGCTCTGGCTTGTCACTGTCGTCAGCGATGACCACGGTGACTGTTGGGTAGAAGCGTCGGATACTGGTGAGGAGAGCCCGCAGCCGATCATAACGGAGGAAGGTCTTGGTGGCAATCGTGACTAGCGTGCTGATGTTGTACTCTGCTGAGATTGAGGGCACACGGTTGGGTGCAGACAAGGAGAGTGGGGAGAGAGGAACAGGTAGATATCCCCTCCCAGGGCTGTCCTCTCCCACCTTGCTCCTCACCAAGGTGGATCTAATACATCCCTGCCCCTACCAGCCTCACCTCCCTTGGGTAGAGACCCAGGTGGGTACAGCCGAGGGTTGGGGGGGTGTCTTATGCGGATGGTGAAGGCAGCTTCGTGTCCCTCAGTGGAGAACCGGACTGGGAAGAAAGGACATGGCATTTGACCCTGAAGGGTGGGACAACATTCTGTTTTCAGTCAAGCAATATTTAAGTGCCTACTCTGTGTCCCACCTTTCTAGGCCTTGGTGGACGAGAACACAAGGTTCTTACGTTCACGAAACTTACATTATAATGGGTAGGAGAAAAGCAATAAAAAAGTTTTAAGTAAAAACTAACCATTACTGAGCATTTACTATGTGCCAGACCCTTTAAAAAATGACCTTAAATGTATGCACTCATTTTATTCTTATGATAACCCTATTAAGTAGATTCCTACAACAGAAAAAGAAGCCGAGACACAGAAAAGTAACTTGCCACATTTACACAACTATTAAGCAACAAAGCTGATAGGAATCTAGTCAGTCTGGTGCCAGGCTAAGAAAATTTAAAAATTCAGATACTGGTAAGTATTGAATGGAAAATAGGACAAACAAGTAATGTAATAGTGAAGAGGAGACATTTGGGCTGAGATTTAAATGACAAGAAGGAGCCGGTCTGCAAAAATCTGGGGAACAGCATTCCAGGCTGAGAAAACAGCAAGCGGAAGGCTCTAAGGTCGAAGCAAACTTCCTGCAACTAACAAGCTTTGGGGAGAAGCAGGAGGGCTCTTAGGCCCCTTTTGCTGGAGGAGAAATGTAAACCCAGGAAGGTAAAGGCCTTTGCCCTCTAGTAAGGGTGAGTTGGGAGTATAGTCTTCTAACTCCTTGGACAGGTCTCTTCCTGAGGCCCTGAGGTTAGCCTAAAGGGGAGACACACCCAAAGCTTGGGTTTCCCCCTGGCCTGCTCCAGCCCCAGATGAACAAAGGCCTCTTCTCTCCCTCTCTGGCCTGACTGGTCCAGTTGAAGCACCCATTGTGTGGCTGCATAGCTCTGGCCATAGCCCAGATGCCTCCCACGCCCTCTGCCGTTTGACCACTCCAGCCTTTCTGGTTCTTCTCTGTTTGGCCAGCCTTCCCCTCTTCACCCAGGCCTCACACCTGTGTCTGCTGTGTTGGTCTGGTAGCTTCGGCTGCTGTAAGTGACCAGTTGTAGTTGCCTGTTGAGTTGGTCCAGCCCTGAGCTGACAAGGGTGAGCTCTGCCTGCCCCTCTCCAGTGAGAGTCACTCCAGTCACTTCCCCTGCCACATCCCAGGTGCCCAGGGAGGCAGTCAGGTTCACCTAGGAGGGACTGGAGAGTTAGGGCCCAGGCCCACTTCTTGCCTCCCTGATTCCTCCATTCTTCTCTTAGTAGCCCTGCCTCCCTCCCAGCGTTCTTGATGCCCACCTGGCCTCCTCATCTTCCTGTTTTCTCTCACCTGGTATACCTCCTGACCAGAAGCTGCTTGAAGGCTCAGCCCTAGGAGAAAGGAGGGGGAATCAGAATTACACAGACAACCCTGAATTCTTTCTCGTTTTTTCTCCCTGCTGTCACCACACACAATAGAGAACTTTCCACCCATTCTTCTTACTGAGACCTCAGCAGGGGACACAGTATAACATAGCCTACAGTGACTGACTTTTGAGACTTTCCTATCAAAGCTTTCCCTAAGGCCTGCCCTGCCCACCATCTAACCAATGGTTAGTCAGTAAAAAAATAGATTCTTCCCCCCAAAACTCCCATTATAGTCTTCTGAAATTCCTAGAGTCCCTTCTGTCCTCACCTCACACCTCCTAAGCCCCCTTCTGACCTTAAGTCCCCTTTTCATCAGAAGTTCCAGCCTCCTATTCCGACCATTGCTCATTCTTTCTCACCCAACCTTGGGCTCTGCCACCTGCACTGTGGCTGAGGTCATCCTTTGGGACCTTCCTCCCTACCTGGCACCAAGATGCTCCTGAGGGGCTGAACTTCCACACCCTGCAGGGGGTACTGGAGTGGGGAGTTGGCAGGGGCTATGAGAAGTTGGTCAGCTGGTGACTGGCTCCTGGCAGTGGAGGAAGGAGAGAACAGAGAAGAGTCCGGGGGGAGAGGGGCTCTCCCTCCTGGACACAATCACTGCTCTCCCCCTGTGGCGTCATGCCCTTCTTTCAAGCTAGTACCTTGACAGAAAGGCCTGGAACTCCTGCTCTCTTGTGGCGGAGGC